AATTTTTTGTGAAAAAGTTGTCATTTTAAATCCCCCCCTGTGGGCAGGTAAAGTGTCAGATTTACAAAAAAAATATACCAAATGATAAGTAAAGACATCAAGCATCTATATAAAAAAAATTTTATTCATATGTTCATTTTTGAAAAAGTTAGAGCATTATTAAGTTAAAAATATAAAAAAAAATTATTTTACAAAAATCGTAATTTTTTATTAACTTTGATGTCAACTTTCACCACGAAGACAAGTCCAGAGGTCAAATTTTTTTTTTTAAAATTAAAGAATATTACATAAGCTTTAATTTAAGATATATATAAAAGTGTCAGACCTTCCGGAACATTTTCAAAAGTTAAGTTGAAAAAGTTCTACTTTCTATATGCATTTTTTATATTTGAAGCCCCCCCATATATAGGGAAATAGTCTGATTTAAAAAAAAAGTATATCCAATGAAAGATGTATATAAATACTACTTCTCATGAAAAAATTGTATTGATCCATACATTTTTTAAAAAGTTATAGCACTTTAAAGTAAAAAATGTAAATTATAAAATCGAAAATTTTCACACAAAAATAGCATTCGGTAGCCGTTTTCACCATGAAGACAAGTCCAGAGGTCAAATTTTTTTTTTTCAAATTAAAGTACATTACATTAGCTTTAATTTAAGATATATATAAAAGTGTCAGACCTTCCGGAACATTTTCAAAAGTTAAGTTGAAAAAGTTAATTTTTTGTGAAAAAGTTGTCATTTTAAATCCCCCCCTGTGGGCAGAAAAAAGGTCAAATTTACAAAAAAAATATACCAAATAATAGGTAAAGACATCAAGCATCTATATAAAAAAAAATTATATTGATATGTTCATTTTTGAAAAAGTTACGGCAGTTTTTAGTAAAAAAAATTGAAAAAATTTCGAAAATTAGCGATTTTTAAATTTGTAATTTTTTTGGAGGTTTCCCCCATTTACGGGGAACGAGGGAAATTTTTTCAATTTTGAAGGGTAATGTCTTCGACTAGATACGATTTGTGATCTTTTGACGTATCGTTGAAAGAAAACCGTTCGGTGAGAGCTGAGAAAAAGTGGTAACAGACACAAAAAAAAAAAAAACACATCATAGTAAAACCAATACCTTCTCAGCTTCGCATCGAAGCTAAAATATTTAGTGAGAGATCTTATATCTAATAATTTATATAAATGAAAATACATTTAATGTAGTAAATACGCGAGTATCACAAATTTATATAAGAACTTTACCCGTAATAATTAAACATTTGTACAATAGCTACTTCCTTGGCACACATTATGTTCTAAAATAATTCGATTGATTATTATAAAAACAAATATTAACTGACAAATAATTTTAGCACTCACAGTTACAATGATAATATGCACAAACCCAGACGCTGCACTAAATATTCAAAAAAATTACAAAAGAGAAAAATTATAAACTACCACAAAAAGAATGACGAAAATTAGTAACATTGAATATAAACTTGATTTAAATACAATAAAAAGGGACATTGGATGAAATCAGTAATGAATTTGTGGTTAGATTTCTAAATAGTCGTTAATCTTACACAATGTCACTTGATGGTTTCACAATATATGTGTCTACGATTATTTCACGATGTAACTTGATGAGTTTCTATGATTAACCTGATGAGGTAAAAAGTTGTAATTGTACTTGGGTGCTGTTTGATATCTGATAACTCACAATGTGTTTAATACAGATTTAAATACGGTACACTGAACTTTTTAAACAAATATAAATTATATTATCTAATATTATTGCTTGTAATTAGTATTGTAATTTGTAATTGTTCGTTAGTGGTGCACGTGTCATATAATTCGTCTCGTGCTAATTTTATAGTTATATTATTTAATATGTAAAGAACGGGATTAACACGGGACTAATTTCTAAAAAGCGTTACGTTGGTATTTTGTCGGGACAACGGGACAATCCCGTTTTAAACGGGACGTATGGCACCCCAGACTAGTAGGAATAATTCACATAGATATTTTGTACATTTTCTATAGTACTAAAATCCTAAACACAAAATTACGATAGGGTAAGGTGATGTAATATTACAAGGTTAAACACCTACGATTTTTTATGACTTTTATGAATGATTTGAAATCTGAAATTTGCATGAAAGCTGCTTATATATCTAACCTAACACCACACATTTCAATTATTGAAACTCAAACGCATCACATTTTAAATCGTTCATTTCATCTTTGAAGTGGCTAAAAATAATTTGTCCTCAGCTATGCCGAATGGGTTGAGTTAAAATGAAAATAAACGAATGTAATATTTTTAATTGTATATTCATATACACCTTAATGACATTACCTACTAAAATGATACATTTGTAAAATTTTATTTTATTCGAAGTTTGATTAGATTAAAATTGTTATGTATCTTCCGGAACTTAATTATTAATTAATGCATAGATTAATTAAATGGTGTTATGTATTAAATATTAGATTAAAGTTTAAAAAAAAAAAATGTTTAATTATATTTTGCCATGACATTCGTGTAACGTTGATCCTGTATATTTAGTAATATTCCACTAATACATTAATAAAAAGAGCGACAATTCCATTTAATATTTTTTGCATAATGGATGATTAACTTTTTATGTTATTACTTTAAACTTTTATTCATTGTTGTTCATTAATATTCAACAAAATTTCAAAACTTAATTTTAGAATTTTAATTTAATCAAATTGACTGTTAAATGATTTATCCCCTTGATATACATAGTGTGAGTAAGAATTTGTTTGTTTTAAAACAAGTGTTTGGTAGTTTTTTTATAAGTTATTTTTGTTGCGCTATTCGCCGAAATTAAATTTGTAAAAATTAGACTTGTCATATTTTTTTTTTCTCTAATCTTAATAATTAAATGCAATGTGTCAATTCCAAACTTAAGTATAAAAAACTGTATTAGCGTTATATAAAATGTCAAAATGATTGGCATACTACTCAACCAATTTATATATTTTATATTTACTTATCAATAAACAATAACATTGTAGGAATAAGACAATGATGATTTTTTGGCGAGAAAAAATATTATAAATAGCAGAGAAATCCCTTACAGTAAAAATTGTGTTTATTATTGTCGCACTTCTTACGTGTTGTGAACTAAAAATCGAATTTGTATTATTTTGTTTATTAGTTTGTGTTATTTATTAAATATTAATTGATACTGTCACTGAAATTATTCTAAAAACAAAGAAAAATCACCAGGCATGTTTTCAATTTACTAATAGTTAATACTAATATTATTTTATGACCTAATAACCTCACCCCAAATAAAAGTAACTCTCGCTTTCAATCCAACACTGTTCAATTTTTCTTTTATTAATTTTTTATAATTTAATTAATAAAACAAGTGTTTAGTTTCTTAATTTTATTAAGTTCGAATTACAATAATTTTTTTTTTCCATTTAACATTAAGAATGTCTTTTAGGTTTATTAAAATTTTACAATAAATTATTAGTAAAATGTTATTTAAATTTTAAAAATAGTCTATTTTGTAGTCTATGTTTGTTAACAATAATTTGTTTTTATTCGTAACATTCATGGGTTTATTATGAAGGTAGACTAGGCAAACACAAAAATAATTCTGAGAAGTATAAATAATGTTTGATATTTAATAGATATTTAAAACGAATGCTTATTTCAACTATAGAAAAGGTTTTACAAAAAGTAAGTCATAAAAACTATATATTTATATTTCGATATAATTTTCAGTTTAACAATTAAGTCACTTTAAATAATAATAATAATAATAATATATATATATTAACATTATTTCAAAATTATTTTATAATTCTTTTACTTCCTCAGTCTCAATTATAATAGGTTTTTTTCATAATACAGCTTTCAATACATAATATTATCTTACTTCCACAATTATTATTTATTCCTATTATTAATTTGTAAATAACAAAACAATTATTACAAATATAAATTAATTTTACTTTATTTAATAAATGCATAATAATAATTCTTTATTTGTAAACAATAAAACATCATTGGTGTCATATATATCAATAAGAAATTGATAAAACCAATGAAATGATTAAAATTACAATTTTTACGAAAATACACGTTTATTATAGGGAAATTCTATGCAAAAATTCAAATGCAATCTGACGCAAAATTTTTTTTTTTTTAATTGTAGCTTAAGAGTTCTTCTACAACATGCATGTATTGGTATAATCGTAATATTGCGTAATTTTGAGTTAAACTGTTTAAAAAACGATGTAAAATAAGTATTTGCATTTTTTTGTGTGTAAAAAATTATTAAAATTAAAAAAAAAAAGAAATCATGGTAAAATTAATACTTTCTCAGCTTCGCATCGAAGCTAAAAAAAAATTAAGGATATTAATTTAGCAGGAAAAAATGATTGAAGGGATAATAAAAATCCTAGAAAAAAACAAAAAAATACATTGTTATGATATTAAAGTAGAACTCATCCATTACTGTATCAATTTTTGGCCTTGAATTTTTGTACATGACCTTATAAGGATATAATAAAAAAAATGTGCTAAAAAAAAAAATTTTATTAGTTGATTTAAAAATGGTACTTTTGGCCGGCTAAATCAGCGTTTGGTCCCACTGTAAACCGTTTGCGTTTTACACACTTTTTAAAGATTTGTATGTCTTATAAAAATATATTATTGATTTGAATTTATAACACCGGTAGAAAAAATAATTTCAATAACGACATATGGGTTTATTTTTTTTAAACTGTTAAGATAAGTAATTTATGGACTATTACAACAGATTATTACCAATTGCTAAGTGAAGCCTTATAAAATGTTATAAATATAGTTCTATGATGTAATGATTGATTACTAAAAATAGAGTATAACATTTTATAAAGATCATAAGTTAAAATAGTTGTCAGTTATATTTGTTCCATTCTGTATACTTATACAGAGCGATCGGTTTATCATAAATCGCTCGATTATTATCAAAATAAATACAATAATGGGAAAACAAATATTTTTTTTAATGACCTATATTTTTTGATCTATCAGCTATAGATTACTTTTTAGAATTATACCTTGTAACTCTTAGGGGTATCAACTTTATTTTAGTTTCGATGGGATATTAGGTTATTTTATATATTCATCTTACAATATATAGAGTGATTTTTTTATCATAACCCAGTCAATTACTTATAGAATAATAATAATTTAAATTTTTTTTTTTATTACTATCTTTAGTTACACATTATTCTTGAATTATTAACTATGTAATACTTTTTAAGTTCATCCCTTATGCCTGGTAAGGGTGTCAACTTTGTTTTTTTAAATGGTAACACATATTTTTAATTTAATAAAATGTTTGAGTTTTTAATTCAATAATAAATGGCATTTGAATTTTTAATAAAACTTAATTTGTTTATTAGATATAAAGATTTAAAGTTTAAAATTTTTGAGTTAATATATAGGTATAATACACAAGGGATTACAAATACAGGTAGCTAATTGGGTTATGATAAAAAAATCACCCTGTATAGCATTATTTTAGCAATTATCATTTATTCCTCATATTCATTTTAAAGAGTAGTTTGAGAACTTTTTATTTGAATATTTGTTTCACAATGTAAGACATTTTGAACATTATTTTTTTTTTATTCCTATTAGTCATTATTTTTTCAACTGCACATAGCTATTGTTGTTTTTTAATGACCTATATTTTTTGATCTATCAACTATTGATCACTTTTTAGAATCATACCTTGTAAGTATTGGAATATCAACTTTATTTTAGCTTCAATATATTACATTCTCCAGAATATTAACTAATCATATAGTATTAACCATACTATTGAAAGTTGCCATTTTGTGTTCCCAATTGATATTAGAAGTTTTTGAATTGTGCATGACGCAAGTGTATTTTTCCCATAATATTTTCAAAATGAAATACTCTTTCATCCTTTTTAGCTATAAAATCTGCAAAGAAGTAATTTTCTTTCTAATTCTTGTTCGTATCTGAATTTAATTAATTGATAAAAATAATTTACATGTTATACCATTACCACCATAACAAAAGTTTAAATTTCCACAAAAATAGCACTAACATATCTAATACAATACAATAAAATCACTATATGTATTTTTTAATATATATCAAATCTACTTCCACAACAAGAGAAATTAAGGGAGTTGAGTTTTTAAAATTAGAAAACTTAAAATTTTCTTCAATAAAAAATAATAGAATATTTATATAGATAAGATAAAAATAATAAAATTTATATAGACATGACCTTACACTGATAAGAAATTATAACATTGACTAAATTAATTAAGAGAACAATTAAAACTACTGAAATAAATATTAATTAATTATTAATTTCTACAACTAATATTCTAATACTATAATTTATTATTCAAGAAAAATACATACTTTAATCAACTTTTAAAAACATAAAGTTACAATTTGTAGTTATGGTAGTATGAACATACTCAACTCTCATTTGACTTATATAATTGGTTTTAATATACTTAGAGATATGAGAAAAATTATGTTAAATTATTACTCAAACTGTTTTAGGAAAAAAAAAATGAAAGTATTTTGTTTGATATTACTCGTAACATATGGTAAGATAATTTTACGATCTAAAATAATTTTTTTGCAAAATATTAAGAAGAATCACGAAAAAACAAGCTTGTGATAATTATTCTATAATTTCCAAAACTTACGTACAGTTAAGCTTAAATTTATTGTGATTAACAAACATTTTATTTCCTTATTAATAACGCATAAATTATTTATATATAAGTAAAATTTAAACTATATTAAAAATATTATAAATTTAAAAAACTAAAAAATATTCAACTCAAAGCCACAAAAATTAATGAAAAGTCAGTTGAATATTTTTAATATTTTTTAGTTTTTTAAATTAATAATATTTTTAATATAGTTTAAATTTTACTGAATTAATTAGTCACAAGTGATCAATTTTTATTATATTTATATATAATTAATCTATTTGTATTACAGTGGACAAATTAGAAGCAGCTGGTTTGTGTTCTGGCCAAAGTAATATATTATAAATTTATGATACACTAAGTGATTTTTTCTTGAAAATACATTCAATTACTCGTAAAATAAAAATAATTATGGGATTTAAAAAACCCATAATGGAGTCGCAGCACAGTGGGAACAATTATAAATTATATGCCAGTGATTAAAATTATTACTACAAAAAACGTTATGATGCAAATCTATAGAAAGTATTTAGTTTTTAAAAGGAACTCCTATTTCCTTATTTATATCCTGATTACAAGTTATATGATTTATAGATTTAATACATGAATAAATACTTATAATAGCAATTAAATTTAGTATCAAATTGATTTTTAATAATTTAGTACTGCAATATTTTTGGAAAAATTATAAAAAGTTATTAAGTGGTTGGACAGAATGGTTCTTTTAATATTAAACACTCGATTACTCTTAAAATAATAATTATACTAAAAAAATTCTTTTTGATATAAATTTTATAGATTTCTTGATTTATTAATTATCAAGTTACTTTTTTTAATTTACCATTTATGCCATGAAAGGGTGATAACTTAAAATGATCTAATTAAGAATATTTCTTAATAAAGGTATATCCTTAAAGGTATAAAGGATAAATTAAAAAAATTATTATTCTTGATAATAGAGAAATATTTGAAACGAAAAACAGCAAATATGATTTTCATAATATAATTATTATTTAAGAGAATCGGGTGATTAAGAGAGGCTATTAAAAGAATAAATTGTATTTTGTTATCTCAATTAATCAATAGCCTTTGTTAGCTAATATTTGTTTTTTCAAATGGCAGCCTCCTTATTTATATTCATATTGAAAAAATTTGTTAGTTTAGTGAAAATTCTTCCTGAAAATATTATAACTAACATTTAAATCATTTTTATAACTTTTTTGTAAAAGGTAGATTAAATGAAGTATTTACTCGTTCCTTTTAATAGGGCAACACCATTTGATCGAAAATATAGACAAAATATAATTTTAATATGAATTGAATTAGAACAATGATGGTTTCTTATACGAAAATAGTATTTTTTGTTTAAGTTTGGGGGCATTTACAAATAAACGAGATGTCGGATAAATTTTTTTTAGGTGGGTTATGTCATTTTTATCATTACAGTCTCCACAATATATTGAAAGATATTACTAACTTCCAATATAATGCATCTATAGTTGAATTCGTCCAGTCATTTTCCTAATTAGATTATTATTTACTTTATTAACTAGTTAAGTAAGCATGTGATCATTTCAAAAAATCAAAGCTGATACCCATATAAAATAAAAGGGTTTAATTAAAAAGGAATATAATAATTAATAAATCTTAAATACTTTTATTAGTAGTTTATTTTTATGTGCAATAAAAATAATTTCTATTATTTAATTAATCTAGAAATGTGTCCAGAATGTAATGACACAATAGTTGATAAAGAATTTCCTATGTGTCTAACTTGTATTTCTAAAGATTCAGTTATTAAAGATATACTCTCCAACGGTAAATATAAAGACAGTTTTTTTATTTTTATTTTATTTTTTTATTATAATTATTATAATCATTGATTTATTATAGTGTTTGTATTTAATCAATATTATAAATAAACTTTTAACGATTGCTGTAAGTTCTTATTTCTCTTGATTTCTTAAAACATAACGATTGAATATTTAATAATTTTATAAAAAAACATAACAGCTCAATTCATACATACTAAAAACAGTCCAATTGCGAACAATATAATAACAATAAGGTTAAAAATAAAAACAAACACACATTACTTGAAGACTACAAGCTTAACATTTTTGAAATATTTTCTTCTTTTGTTTTTTTATTGTTAATAGAGAAATTGAAAATCACAACACACAAATCGCTTTAAAAGCAATCACTTTAACAGACATATAGAAATAAATTGTAATAATCAGAATTAAATGTTTATTTTTTAATTTAGATAATTCAGACAATTACGAATGGAATAAGTATTTAAATGATCGTGTCGGTGATGTTATTAATATGAATCCGTACAAACCTTTACCAACCTTATCTCCTATGAAAAACAAATCTTCATCAAGTAAATATAAAAGATACTAAATAGGTTAAAGACATTTGTTTATTATTGATTGTATCTTTTTTTATATCTATGGCAAATCTCTTAACATATATTTTATTTGTAAATCAAACCTTTTGTAAGAGTAACTGAGCTTTTCACACTGCACAGATTGTTCATTTCTGGCACTAAGTTTCCTTTTCTATCTTTTATCTAGCCCATTAGAAACGATTGCTTAGCTTTTGTAACATTTTATTGTGACCTAAATGGATATCGTGATGTACATTTAGGTCATTATCTGAGATGATATTCATAGAATTTTAGTATGACTTTAATAATTATCCACCTCAGTAGTACTCTTTGATACATTACACTTTTACCGATGGGGAACTATTTACGTTTTATCATATTATAATAGACGTATTAAAAAACATCATGAAATGTATTGAATTTTCAAGTTTGTACTTGTCGATGACACAGTTTTAACATATAATATAGTCTACACAGGTATTTTGAATAACAAAAAAGGGTAGTAAACTGTTTATTAATTACTCGTCACAATTTAATATAGTTAACACAATTGAAACACATTGACAATCTATAATCACAATAAGTAATTAGACATTTCGAGATGTAGGAAGGACAAAAAGTGCTAAGGCGTTGAAATAAATACACAGTATACATAGAGGTGTCACAAACGAGACGTTTAGTAGGGTGTCATGCAAAAATAACGATCAAGATGATCGATGAAACAAAATAGAAATCATGATCTGCAATTGACAGCCAACGTTTGGCTTGGCTTGGGTCAAAGATAGGGAAACGCACGAGGACTACTGATTGTGATATAAAGAGCTAGATGGCTGATATCGAGAAACACGAGTGATCACCTGTCTAGATCACAGCGCGGTACCTTATCAATATTTAAATGAAAATCAAAAGTATAATTAATAAACATTAAAAGTTTTTACTAAAAAATATAAAGATATAATTAATATAATTGTATTAAACGGATACAATGTATTTCATTTCATACAAATTTTTTGAAAATTTGTCCTTTAGCCTACCAACAAGGGAAAGATTCAAAATGGCGACTTTTGCATAAAAAGTTAGTGTTGACTAGTTAAATATTGAAAATGTTTCGAAAACACTCCAAGCATCAATCAGATGCTAAATTATAGCTAATAGTATTTAACATTGTTACAAACTTTAAGTTAAAAAAAAACTATGTGCAAATGACTGCAGTACTTAAAATTTATGTTATTTTTATGGTCAAATTTTATATTTACAATTTTAAATTGCTACATGCATTTTGAAAAATGTATGAAATAATATAATTTCTTCAAAAATACTTAATACATATTCTATTTATCTAATATATATTTTTTTTAATCAGATCATTACCCTTTATACAGATAGGGTTAAAACCTTGAAACATATATATCAAAAGTAGAGAGTTTTCAACATTTTTTATGTTTTATAAGGATATCAACTTTATTTTTTTTAATGGCTACGTACAAATTAAACTAGCTTTTAAAAGAAAAATTATTTAATTAAGTAAATTTTTACGTCAATGACAACTTTTGACCTATTACTCCGAAAGTTATAACTATTTTAAAATTTAGAGTTAATAAAAATAACATTACCCAGCATTAAGTTTACTTAATGCTGGGTAATGTTATTTTTATCACTACATCCTCCACCTTATATTTAAAAATAATAATAACTTCTGAAGTACGTTTTCAAAAATTGTTTTCAACCAGTCATTTTCCTAATTAGATCATTTTTTATTTTATTAGCTAGTTAAGTATGTATGTGATCTTTTAAAAAAATAAAATTGTTACCCTTATAAGGTATAAGGGTTTAATTTAAAAAAAATTGAATAATTAATTGATCGATAAAAATATAAAATTAAAAAAATCAAAATGAATTTCCTTAATATATTTATTATTTTAAGAGAATTCGAGTGGCTTAATTATTTATTTATGCATATAACATTTTGGCTTATATAAATGGTAACAAATCTTATTATATAGTACTCGGTCATGAGACTTTGGAAAAATTATTAACGAAGGTCAGATAATTTTTGCCGCTCGCCCGCGAGCGTTTACGACTTAAGATTTGAAATTTTCATCAGACCCGCTTAATGAGATGTCTAAAATATCATACAAAAATCATTTTTTTTTTTTGAGTTAATATAGGCATTGACTCATTTCTGCGCTTATGTTTATGGGGACTCTTAATTGTAAAATATGAATTTTTATGACGTGTAACATCACAAATTCGCGGGTGGACCGTTTATAATTTTTTGTTATGTCTACATTTTTATTTTATCGTGCAAGAAAATGTGCGAATGAACCTTTTTTTGGCCCAGCGGTGTCAACAGCTCATTATTTTTGCCGCCGTCAGCTAGATAAAGCGACAAACGAGAATCAATGTAATTAAAATCGAATTGTTTATCGGTATTGATCCCTTCCAAAAAGACTGGCCTTTAGATCGGTATTGACTCTTCATCTTGTGCTTCTGTCATTGATCATACTAGAGTGCACATGTTGTTGTTTTATTGTCACTTTTTTTTCAATGATGGAGTAGATCCGCCAACGGCGAGCAGCCGGGTGTCTTTTCGGTGAATCATCCAGACCATCGGATGGGTCTTTTCTGAGACCGGGTATCGTATTCTTTATTATGTTTTTGTAATGAGCTTAATTTATTAATTATTTTATTTCATTTTTATTTTATTATAAATTAACTTAATTTTATTTATGTGTAGAGAACACGTGTTTCCTTTTTCTTCTAGCCAACTTTAAGGAGCGAGTGTTCAGACCGCTCCTGGCATTTTTATAAATTTCCGATAAACTTTAACGCATGTGTCCCAATATCGTCCGTCATGTTTGTTATATTATTTGATTTTGTTTAAATATTTTATTTTATTTTTGTTGCTTTTCTTTGTCGATATGGTTTTTGATACACTCGTATTCTTGTCTATATTTAACTTTATTTTTTTTATCAATTAAATTAAGTTTCCTTATTAGTTTTAACTGTAATATTTATTCTATTACGCGAGTATCTTAAGATACTCGCGTGTATTTTATCTCTGTTCCTTAATCTAGAAATGGGCCACGGTATGTTTTACATAACAATCACTTACAATTTCAATTTTAATTAATTTTTGACGCCTTCCAAGTGTTGATTGTATGTTAGGGTTCTATCAAATTCACCCCTAGTTATTTAGGACATTCTTCAGAAGCAATATTTTGTTCATCTATTTCTATATATTATTTTTTGTTTGCCTCCCTATTGTTGAGATGAAAGACCCTTGCCACAGACTTACTCGGATTCAAAGTTATATGCCACTTCTGGAAATATTTTTACACTTTTATTAAATCGTAATTCAACGCTAATCTAACGCTGCAAATGTCATGACTTGTACTACTAGCGCCACATCATCCACATATATGAATTTTTTTGGATCATTATTGATGATGTCATCCGCATACGCATTAAAAAAAATTGAAGACAATACAGATTGTTGCACAAGCCCATTTTGAAGGAATTTGTGCCCGCTTACCTTATCGTTAAGAGATACATAGATTTGTCTATTTGATAGTAGATTTTCTAGTAGTCTAATCGTCGTTCTACACTTTGTTATTTTAGTCAGCTTTAATAGTAATCCACTCTTCCATACAGTATTATACGCATATGAGAGGTCTAGGAAGACTGCGACAGATTTCTCTTGTCGCTTGAAACCATTGTCTATGTGCGTTGCTAGTACAAGGGTTTGGTAACAATAGTTCCTACTTTCCTAAATCCGGCTTATTCTATTAGTAAGGATGCTTCTACTAATGGTTGTAAGTGCGCTAAGATAAGTATTTCAAAAAGTTTGTAACTTGTTTACTATAGGGATATTGGCCGGTAGTTAATAGGATTGGGAGCTTCTTTATTTAGTTTTAAGATAGCTATCACTTTCGTTTCACATCATAGTTTTGGGAGAGTATTCGTGTTTATTGTTTTATTGGCCAGTTTTGCTATCCAACTGATGACACTCCAGGGACCAAGATTTTTAAGAAACTCTGTCAGGATTTTATCTATTTCAGCTGCTTTTTTATTTTATTACAGCTTTTAGAGCCTTATAGATCTCTTCATCTGAGAAGTCTGTAATAAAAACCGATTTTTCTTCCCATTTCCTTACGAGTTTTCTTCTTACTTCTGTTGTTTGCGGTTTAATATTTGATTTTTTGAAGAGAATTTTTACGATATCATTGGCTGCAACACGTCCAACTTTCTTGAAGGCTGCGTAGCGCCAAATTTTCTCATAAGAGACTAACTTTTCCTGCTTGATTGTATATAGTCTATTTCTTCTATCGCAGCTATCCATCTATTACTTCTTTCATCATACAGTAAGGCCATTAATCGATTTGCTATTTCCTCATTTCCAGATTGATCGTATTCACACAATAGTCAGTCACACTCTTTGCTCCACCATGGTATATAGTTCTGTTTATATCCTCTAAGTATTGTTAAGTTTTACATATCTGAAGTAGTTTTGTGAAGTAGGAGAAATGCGATTTATGTTTTCTTTCGTGTATTTGGTATAGTCTACCCACCGCGCTTTTCGTAGATTCTACCTAGGCATTTCGGGTTTATTGATTCTTGAAAAATTGACCCCTATATCTATGACTACTATCTTATGTTGGCTTTTGGGGAATTTAAGTAGAATTTGTCATGAAACTCTTAAAGATTAATCATCCTTGTCTCTTAATACAAAACAAAGGTCAGGTGAGGTAGTTGTCACCACCGACCTGATTCGAATGTACCACCCTACTTAGCGTCATAGATCAGATGAAGAAGGCCGAGCGCAGCCCAACCAAAGAAAACCGCGCCATCCTCGTTCTCACTTAGATAACCTCATTATGTGCTATGTGAGTTGAAGTCACCGATGTAGATTGTAGAGCTTTCTTTAACTAGGAGAACTGAGTTGGACCACCTTACTGGTGGGGGTTTATATACGTTGTATATTATAAGATTTCCCACAGAAATGACAATCGAGTTTTCATTTCCGGCAATAGTATTAAAAGTTGTTCTTTAACGTTTTGGTTTACATAAATTGCCAGTCAGTGTTTTACATGTCCTTTATAGTCAACTATATTGAAACCAGGCACCCTTAGGCGGCTGGTCTCATCTCTCAGTATGTGGGACTCGTGAAGTGTCAATACATCTGCATTCTTAAACAATTTTCCTAAGATATCAGACTTTGCTCTTGTCAAACCTTCAATATTTAGGTGTACTAATCGTATTGTTCTTTGTGATTCTTTGTTGTTTCTGTGTTTTCCGCTGACATAATGAGGTTTTAGGATTTTTTTTTATTTTTGTTTTTATAATTTTTTTTGTAAAAAATTTTTCTTCTCTTAGCTCTATGGCCACGTATATCAGGGTAACCCTTTAAAGGGCTGTTCATACCAATAAAGCCAGGAGATCCGTGGACGTTTGGCTATCGGTTTGAAACTAATTCGTTTCGTGTGTTCATTTAAGGTACTTCGTTGAGTTATAGCTATGAAAATACTCTAAGATCACACTATTTACAAAGGAGACCACAAGGAGGTTTAGCATTACCTCTACCCATCGAGTGGCTCATATTAAAAGAATCATTCTATATACAACAAGTTTATAATTTTTTATTATTTCTCGGTAAAAAGTACAATACTAAATTATAAAATATCAATTTTATACTAAATTTAATTACTATAATAAGTATTTATTAATTTATTGTGTCAAGTAAAAGTTTAGGATTGGGGTAGCTGACCTCTAGTAGTTAGGATAAAGACGAGGAAAAAGAAGTATTTATTCATGTATTAGACTAATAAATCACGTGTTGCTTTTGAAATAATTTAATAGTTCCTTCCAAAATTTAAACACTTTTTACAGATTTGCATTGAAGCGTCTTTTATAATAGTGATTTTAATCATTGTTAAATATCATCTATAACGTATAAGGGATTAATTAAAAAAAAAACTTAATGATTACTAAATACCTATCCCCACTGTCCCACGACTCAACTGTGCTAGATGTTTTCTCATGTATATATATATATATATATATACAAGAAAACATTTTGTAAATAAATATTTTGTTCAAAGAACTTGATATTTGCAACATAGATTTTAGTTTAAATAATCAGAGTTTGATATAATTTAATTAATTTAGGTAAGTGCATAAAATGTAATAGTTTCAAAAAATATGAGAATACGTGTGAAGAGTGTTTAATAGATGATCAAAAAAATCAAAAAAACATTCAAAACCCAAGATATAAAAATGATAATAAATAGTTTAAGGCTATTTCATTATTACAAATTATATATTTTGTATCATAAACATTATAATCATTGATTTATTATAGTGTTTGTATTTAATCAATATTATAAATAAACTTTAAACGATTGCTGTAAGTTCTTATTTCTCATGATTTCTTAAAACATAACGATTGAATATTTAATAATTTTATAAAAAACATAACAGCCCAATTCATACATACTGAAAACATACCAATTGCATACAATATAATAACAACAAGGTCAAAAGTAAAGAAATAAACACAATGCTTGAAGGCTACAAGCTTAAAATTTGTACAGCATTTCCTTCTTTTGTTTGTTATGTTGTTAGCAGAATATTTGGAAAACTTATCACACAAATTGACTGATTTAACAGACAATTTAAAGATATTGAACATAGACTTAATAATTAAACTTACATATTTTAGCTTCGATGAGAAGCTGAGAAGGTATTAATTTTACTATGATGTGATTTTTTACAACTTTTTCTTCTTTTCCCTATACTTTTCTATTAGCTGTGTGACACAAAAAATTGGCTTCATCTTTGACTTTTCAGGCAAAAAACCAAACTGGTTCTTTGTAATTCATAATTCTCCTCTTTTTCTTTTGTCCATTACTTTTTCCCAAATCTTCATACTATGACTCAGCTTTATGTTTCTATAATTTCCATACTCCTGTATGTCTCCTCCAACTATACATATCAGCAACACAATACTATTCCTCATACCACCGCCAGGTTTCCTTGTTGCCTGGCATTCTATTGATATCCTACTTGTGGTACATGGACACTTCTTACATTCAACACTTTTTCCTCGAAAATTAATTTAACGAATATAATTCTGTCACTTTTCGTCACTACTTCTACTACTTAAATTTTCATCTCTTCATCAATTTTTATCCTCACACAATTCTTTGTATTAGACTTACCCAAGTATATTATTTTATACCCTCACCTATTTCCCTTACTTTCTCTCCCTTCCACTTACTTTCTTACACACAACAAATATTAACTTTTGTCCTCTTCAATACTTTTACTAATTCTCTACTACTACTAGATAATGTCCCAACATTCCACGGACCTATTCTTACATTTTACCTATCTTTCTCCCTTATACACGCGTCCAGCCTAGAGTTGAGTGATTATTTCCTACATCGTTAACATTACAAGTGTTTGGTTGACCTCCTGTACACATTACAGGTCAAATAGTTACCGCACAAGTTGTACATATCCCCTATCAACAGGGGCAATATACCATACTATAATAGATCATTATTCCTTTTACTGAGAAGGTTCAAAACTTCAATCATATGTATAAAAAGTAGAACTTTTTCAACTAAGAAAAATCGATTGACTAATTTTAAAAGAATCGCTTTTTATACACCAACTGAATTACTTTTTAATATTAATTAACTTATTAATTTTTCATAAAAATTACAGAATTAAATTATTAAATATCAATTTCATACTAAATTTAATTACTATAATTAATACTACCTACTGATTGCAAGTGTTTTTTTATAATAGTGATTTTAATCACTGTGAGATATCATCTAAACTTGTCCCCGCTGGGCTGGGTTTTTCAAATTGAATTTAGATTTCTACTCAATATGTCAAATTTCATTACCTAAATGTTATAGTGATGATAAAAGCTTATGTGTTTATTGTAGAATAATCAAACATACACATAGCGTATAAATGAAGTATAAAAGAATTCGGAAAAATTCAAGAAAATAATTTAAGTTTTCCTGTAAAAATATTAATTATAATTTTAATATACATAAAATAAAATGTATTATTGTTTTTTTAGCTTCGATACGAAGCTAGAAGGTATTAATTTTACTAAGATATATTTTTTTATGTCTGTCACCACTTTTTCTCAACTCTCACCGATTTCTTTCAACAATACGTCAAAAGATTAAAAATCGTATCAAGTTGAAAAATCTGATTCAATTAAACAACTTGATGCAACCAAATTAAATATTATCACTAAAACGACTTTTCAAACTAATAGAAAATACTTATTTCAAACTTTTAGAAATATTAGAGACTACTTCTACTATTTTTTTTTTTTTTTGTATTCTATTATAATTTAAAAAGACACATTTTTTAATATTTATATGTACTAGTAAATAAACCTTAAATTTTATAAGAAGTTAAGTTAAATTAAACAATTTTAAGATATACATATATTCTACAAGTTTAGCTGTCATTTTGAACGAAAATTGGTAAATATAAATTAATTTATGTAAAAACATGAAACATATTATACTATAGACTTGAACAATATCGATTGTTTTTAAACACTTTTTGATGAATCATTTGGTAATTCCGTTCACTTGTAAGGTGCTGTTAACTACTGTGTCTTGGTTTAAAAAGCTATATTTCCTAATCAGACACTAAATATCAATTAATTGAATATGTTACCAGTAAATAACGTAAAAAGATAATGTTTACTTCCGTCCTTTACATAATATAGAATAACATTTGATACCATAGGAAAATCGTAAAAAAAAAAAAATTAACTAATTTCAAAATTCTGTATAAACGTAATTACTAAATTAAAAGAAGAGTTTTTAATATCAACATTTGTCTTTAAAACTTATCTATAAAATCTATAATCTTCAAATCTTAAAAAAAATTAATTTTTAAAATGTTATAATTTATAATAAAAAAATATCTATAATTGTGACAAATAACATAAAACATATTTTAAATATAATCCTATATTGTAAAAATTGATTAAAAAACAAAGTATAAAATGTTATGTGGACCATTAGTTTTATGAGTTTTCAGTTAGATCTATTCCACTCTGTTTTCACTCTACTTGGTTATCAAGTGGAACTTAATAGATTCCAAAACATAAATATGACAAATTTATGTTTTCCTAATGATTTACCTTATTTAGTCTACATGTAAAAGGTTAAAAAAAAATTACCCGATTAAAGGAGGAAGTTCATACATATTTAATATATCTATATATATAAATAGTTAAAAGGTAAATAATGTAATATTGATATTTATGAATTCAAGTTTAACGTTCATTATTTAAAATAATTTATATTAATGATTAGGTTTTAGATTTAGGCTCATTTTTTAAGACAAAACCATGTTTAAGATTAAGGTTTTAAGTCTATACTGTACCTAATTCTATTTTTAACAGGACCAATTGACGTGGTCAACTTGCTCCGTTCGATGTTTTTGTTTTGTACATTTTTTTAAGCTCAATTCTTTTTTTTTGATAAATCGTTTTTAAATCAATAAAATAAACATATTTTAAACTTTATTTTAATAAATTTAAATTTAAATTAGAAATAAAAATTTCATACACTTACACGTGTGTTCCAAAAAATGCTTACAAATACTTTTTTACCTCAAAATTACATTTTATACGATGGTTAATTAAAATTTTAAAATTATGTAAATGATTCATAAATATAATATTACTATCATATTTAGTCCAACTTAAACTCCTTGATTAATAACGTTAACTCTCCCTGGATTCTCTTTCTGTATTTTAAGGGGAGGATAAATATGATAAATAATTTTTTTAAATGTATTGACATTTAATTTTAACGACATATGAAAATTTACAATACACATAAATACGTAAAATACCTATTGATTTTTTATTTTGTTTTTGTTTGACTTTAACCTAGATTATATTGTATACAAACCGCATAAGGGACAATCTAAAATTATCACCTTTAGGTGATCTGCTAATTGATAAAAATAACGAAATAGTTCACACGTTTTAATAAGTCATCTGTGCAAATGCAGCTATAGGTCTTGTGGTAGGGTAGAAAAGCAGAATGTTTTAAAAAAAATACCTTCTGCCGTACAATTTATGCTAAACTAACCCCGCGCCACAGATGCCGGACCGGATCGTGCACTGTTTTTTATGACATGCGTTGCTTACTTAAATGAGCGCGTTATATCGTCTGAACGGTAATTCAATATGTGCGAAGCGCACTGGCGGCGGCTGCTTAGCCTGAGCGACACACGACCATATACGTTTCTTTACAGTCTTTTATTTTTCTTTCGCTACGCATTACTCGTTTTACCTGAGCACAGCGACGCGCGGTCAGTTGTAGGCGGTCGTGTTGAGTAGGGTAGGCAGTACACACAGCAAGAAGAGGACAATGAAAAAAAGCAACAAAATAGTAACCGACCGATGGTGCGCCAAACGTCGTTATAGTGGGGAAAGGAGTATAGTAGTTGTAGTAGTAATCACCGCAGTTACCGACGACCACGGGCAGCTGTAACACTACCGCCGTAGACGGTTTTGTAATCCAAAGAAGAAAACAGTATCGGTCCGCGCGGCAGCTAGTCGTCACCAGCACGATATTCGGGAAATCGCACTGACCTTCGGAGGAAAATTTACGGAGGTAAGAGATATTTTCACAATATTTATCGAACACGCGTAGCCCGGAAAATCGATTTTGGAATCGACGGGTTTACCCCCTCTCTGTATTGCAGACTCCCCTCCCGTCGTTATCACCCCACCCTATCATAACTTCAACCCCCTTCCTCTAGGCGCAACCACTGGAACCCTTAACAATGAACTCGCCGGTCACCCATCACCGCAGCCTTCAGCAGCAACACAAGGACAACCCCAAAGAGGACACAATGGGACAACTGTTGCAAAGGTCGTTGCAAAACGTAGCTTTATCTTTACAAACGACTTTTGTTTCGTCCCTACAACAAGCTGCTCTTCTACCACCCGATTCGCCCGTAGCTGCTGCGCTCAATCTTCAAGCACTCGAATCGTATTTAACCCTACAGCGATTGACGGCTGTACCTCGTCAACAGTCGGTCGACGATCGCAATTCGGCAAGTGCCAGTGTAGTGGTAGTCGAAGAAGTCGATGATGAAGACGATTACGCTGACGATATTAACGACATCGAAGAAAATGAGAGCGATCATCACGCGACCAAAATCAAATGTGGCAGACTGCCCGCGTTTTCTAAAGAGCTCTCTGGTCTATCGCCTAGAGCCAATAGGCTATCCGCTTCGCTTGTTAGTGTGTCGCCTACTGCGAATGCAACTTTAATTTCATCAATCGATGACGAGTCCGTCGACGAACCAGCCATCCAACTACCGTCGCCGGAAAACGGACAGCAAATGTCAAGACCTAAAAAACAATTTATATGCCGTTTCTGCAACCGACACTTCACTAAATCATACAATCTGCTGATACACGAACGTACGCATACGGATGAACGACCTTATGCATGTGATATATGTAAAAAGGCTTTCAGAAGACAAGATCACCTAAGAGATCACAGGTAAATATGTACATGAAAATTTACAGTAGATTTATAAGACAAATTATCATTATTTTCGAAACTCTTCAGAGAAACGACTAATGGTCAGGTTGTTAGATTAATTGTAGCGGTTAAGAGAATGAAATATTTTTCTTCCGTTACTGAATTACAGAATAACTATATTAAATATTAATAACTAAAATTTCATAGGAAATACAGGAATATAAGCTAGTTAAAGTAATAAATATATAGCCTTAGGTTTTTGCGTGAACCCAATAATTGAAAAAAATTCCAACCGCAAATATTGATAATTATTATTTGATTACTAAATGAGTGTAGAACTTCAACATCAAATATCAATTTGATTAAAATACGCGAAAGAATCCAGTTTTTTACTTCTTTTCTTTTACTTATAAAGTAATTTAATATAAGGCGGGTTTCTATTTAAGTTATGTTTAATATCGCTTTTTTGCATGTATCATGGGACATATCTATAAGTACGATTTATGAAATAGGGTCTGCGCCTTTAGTGGTTGTTGTGTTAGAGTTATGTTGTAATGGTATAAAATCATATGCTACAAGATTTAACTGAGTGTGCGCATAGATAAGTATAAAAACGATATAAACCCGACAACGACCCTGTATAAACTATAAGCGTATATAGAATCCTGCAACTTACATCTGCTCATTTGCTTTATTTATTTTATATAATTATATTTCAATATACAACATATTGTTAATTGTCAACATAAAATTATGTTTTTTTTTAATAACACCTACAGACAAAAAAAACAATTTAGATCCAATAAAATTTAAAGCAACTGCACATTTCTTTCATGTACCTCGTAAAAATGAATTCGTTCACTTCATCATTGCTTAATTCTTAAACAAAACAGTTCCCAGATTTGTTCCTACAAAAAGATGTCCTTTCACGAATACGTTATTCTTGCAACGAATTCCTTACCAACATTAAAAAATAAAGCTCTAGTTAAGGGATCCTAAATTTTGTATGGTACTATGGGTTGAATCAATATTTTTGCAGCTGATTAGTATCAATTAATTAAAAAACTATATTATTGGATAGAAAAATACTGTTAACGAACCTATCTAAGACATTTTATGTAAAATAAATTTAAAATTGTTTTTAATTATCACTTATTTAATTCTATATTAAAAATGTAAGTTCTCATGGGTGTATTAAACTCCTTATTTGAATGTAATTTGATAGTTTTCTTCTTCACAACTGTTGCAAATTTTTTCCGTATCTTTTCCACGCCACACGCTTAATATATGAATAAAATATATGTTTAGTTATTTAAATCATTCACCCCGTTTGCGTTAACATAATTGCTTATTAAACATGCAGTTATTCACTGTATGAGTTTTGACATCAGACTTGTTTTATGTTTTCATCTTAATTCACAATTAATTATAGAGACAATTTGACGCATTCGTAGTTGTTGACTTTATTGAACTTTGATTTTACGTCATTTTTCAATTGATTAAACATTATTTATTTATTTTTTAACATGTACATATTGATAATTATCATAAATTGCTCAATAATAGAAACTATTTAATCGATTATTTTAATTACATATATTTTGTATTCGCTCAATCTAAATATATGTTAATTATAAAAAACTTTCATAAAATTTCATAAAATAAATATTTATAATCTTAAGTTAAATCTCAGGTTTTTAAAAACGGCGACACATCAATGGCGCTTTTAAATATATCATATTTCTCATAACTTTTAATTAATGCTGATGAATGGAATATTTAATTATACAAAGCCTCAGTTTATAATTGAATAGACTATAACGCATAAACACTTTTTTTTTGTTACTTTTATAACACAATGATACAAATTAACTATAAGTCCTTCCAATAATTATAAAATATGTCTCTCAATATCTTTGCTTTAAATCCATAAAAATACACAAAGTAAAAAACGTAGTTTTCACAGTGTAATAATTTACGTTATAAAAAACTTTTTGGGCAAAAAGTAACGTACAAAATATTGTTGAGTTGGCGTAAAAATACTGTTCAGGTTGATGTTCTTTAAGCTTCACTAACAGATTTACTCGACAAACTGATGGTGGATATCAAACCGGCTTGTCCGTCGTGTTTACAGTCGCCGTGAATGTTAGAACGAAGTCCCGGAAAGAAAAAAATTGTACATATGTACAAATATGATCGTGCACACATTTTTTTTTGTCATTCTTTCTGCATTTGGAAATTTGCCACGACCGTTTGCAAGTTAAAACTTCATAGACCCCGACCGATTTATCAACTGGACACACGGTCATCACAGAGGCGTACTCTGATAATTACTCGAATAATAAACATCAACGTACTGGAGACTATCGGAGACTCGTCGCGTTATTGTTTTGACACCCGCGTCGCAGTTACTATCACATGGCATGTTTTTTATCTTTTAATTCACTCCAACAATGATATGCCTTCAAGTATCCCACCCGTTTTATAAAACAACCGCCGCCGTGAGAATAAAAAGGTCAATCTCGTGTACGTGTCTAAAAAGAAGGGTCCGATAATATGCCACCGCCGTTGCCTTTTTTTTAAAAGCATTGTTGTGCACAAACTACTCTCTTTAGGCGTGTCAGGTATAATATTATTATTCTGTGACGGACCATTAAACCGGCCGTTGTACAATACTGGTTTTGATTGTACGGCTTTTGGATCTCAATAACCATACCAAGACACCTACAGACACAAACATATTACTATAATTTATGACAAGGTAGGTAAATATAAACGTCATCGGTCTNGGACCATTAAACCGGCCGTTGTACAATACTGGTTTTGATTGTACGGCTTTTGGATCTCAATAACCATACCAAGACACCTACAAACATATTACTATAATTTATGACAAGGTAGGTAAATATAAACGTCATCGGTCTGTCTGAACTTCTAAAATTCTCTTAATTTATAAAATTCGTTGATTGTTCATAGTGATTCGTTGTAAATAAATTTCACAGTGAAACCTTTACTGTAACTAAGTAAATTAAGTTACATTTTGGGTACATGATAGAACTGAGTTCTCTCCTCTACACATTATTTATATAATTCTTGGACAGACATGCATCTTTCTCATGAGTTATTCGAAAATGTTATGACTTCGGTGAATAACTTTGGTATGTACATCGATGTCGTTGCATTGCTGTAAGAACATAACAGTTTACGACCGCCTTGAACACAAATACGGGTCTGAATGAGTCGAACGAAAATTACAATAAAACAGCTAGAAAAATGTCGAACACACTCAAAACTTGTAACTTATCTACTCGTCACGAGCGCATGATATTAAAACAAGCTGCGCGTAATCATATATTAGTACCCAACCACGCATTGCTAATTACTTACACCGGTTGAACGTTTAGTTAAATTACACTATAGTAGTGTTCGTAAAGGTGCTTCGATCGAGTCAAAAATAAATAAATAAACTGGATGTTTTCTAACAAGGTGTTGGAGGAAACGGAGCTGAGTTGTAAATGAATAATGAATACGTTTTACTACGAGCGTACGGCTGGATTTGTCAAGGCTAGTTTTGTATAACGAAAAAAATATATTATCAAACCGGTTCGGTTTTTATTTAAGTGACATCTGAAAAATCCCAACAACTCGATACTTCACAATATTTAAAAAAAATGATCACCCACTTGCCACTTGATATGGCGGTTACTCCTTAACGTTCTGATATACCAAAAGTGTCATTACATGAGTACATACGACATTACTAATACGTCAGGAACCGCATTTAATAGAATTATTTTCGCAATACTTAGCATATAGTTAACACGCGTATGACAAGTTAATATCCGAATGAATATCTGGAAGTGCATTTCATTAAAACATTAAAAAACCAATTTTATCCTGTCTGTATCAATGAGCCTAATCCCAATTGATATTGTTTTATATTGAACACAATCAACAACACTCGGTTAAATACAAAACGTGCCACAGAATGTTTAAAAAATTAATCATTTTTAAAAAGCCGTTTAACTCGTTTAATTGCTTAAGCTTTAAGCGAGAATTCGATAAGAACAACAAGAAGACATTGGGCACAATGTTTGTGAGCAAAATATCAACTGTAAAAAAATGTTTAATCTAAAGAAAACTTACACCTTCATGAACACTTACTACAAAAAAAAAATATTGACAAAAATATTCTTGTCGGTGTGATATCGTACATGTGAATTGTAAGACGAATAATAATGTTTTCGATTAAGATCTTCGATTGCCTTGTTGTCTGCAGATACCGACAATAATAATTCACACTACCATAACACAATACATCAGATACCACACCTATTTTCCACCTTTGAAATTTCATTACATATCGTTTTCATGACATCAATCTATCGTAGGACGAAACTAATTAGATATTTTCTGCGTTAAGTTTTTTTAACTTGTAGTTTTACGAAACTATATTTTTTATGTTACTGTAGGAAATAATTTATGAACGTACATAATAACGGAAAAAGAACAAACTTAAATTACCATTCACATTTCTAGACAGTTTGAGAATTCCATAATCTTGTAGATCATTCTTTTTCGATAACTTAAATTTAACCATCACAAAAAACCTATGTTTTAATTTATTTATGACAATTTAAACAATGAGGACTATTGATTTTCTGTTATAGGTACATACACTCGAAAGAAAAGCCATTTAAATGTTTGGAATGTGGCAAAGGCTTCTGCCAGTCTCGCACGTTGGCCGTTCATAAAATTCTTCACTTAGAGGAATCGCCACACAAGTGTCCAGTGTGCAGTCGCAGTTTCAATCAGCGGTCTAACCTAAAGACTCATCTGCTAACCCACACTGACATCAAACCATACAACTGCCCCACTTGTAGTAAAGTTTTCCGTCGTAATTGCGATCTCAGGCGTCACAGCCTTACCCATAACCTTTCATCATCAATACTGCTAAATGAACAACCCAGCGTGGCTACCCTACGGATTGCTGCAGATAATAACAATAAACAACTATGATCAAATGATCTCAAACTTCAACCCAACTCATTGTTTGTTACGATGGTTAAAAATTATCATTGAGGCGGCCACTTTTAAACGAGTTCACGGTTGAACCGCAAGTCGTTTCTGATCAATTATAATTTAAATATCGCTCTTGGAACCCAAAATTTGTTTTTTCTAATAATTTATTTATTAATGGGCGTCGATAAAAGTATATGGTTGTATAAATAACCGAGATTATCAATAATTAATTACTAAACATTGTTTTAGATTTAAATTACTTTTGTACATTTTATGTTATATTTTAAACTGTATTTGTTATAAACAATTCCTATAATAATAATTTATAAGTTTTGTAAAAATAAATGTCTCATCAATTGATATTTCTCTGTTTTTATTTTTAACTAATAACAAAAATTACGACGTACTCTAAGTATCAACTTATCTAGGATTCAAAATTGTCTTTTATTAAAATAATTTATATATATACGGTTGTCGTTAGAAGATGATCAAGTGAAAAATAATAACTTTTCAGGAGACCGAAAAAATTCAAATTTAAACACCACAGTAAAAAATAACGAAATTATCCATAAAAACTATATTGATGCCATTGAGAGCGGTAAAAATTGTCCAATAAATTGATAAAATTTAACTTGACCACATTCTCGAAAAAAACTGTCGAAATACGGTAGTATTTAAATACAATAAAAATCTATTTATAATAATTTTAAAAAAATTCATTTCTTTTACAGAAAAAGTGAAACGATTTTTAAGTTATTAATTACATAATAAAAATTAGTGATTGGTTTTTTTCTTTATAATTAATAATTAAGTGAGAAGGAAAAATCACAATAAAAAGTACCTATATTAAAAGGAATTAAATATTGATTCATATTTTAAAAGAAATATGAACTTATCTATTACCAATATCTTTATTAATTTTTTTATCAAAAATTGGGTAAAAATTAATCTTGGGCGGTATTAGACATATAAGTTGATAATTACCCCCAATGTCCTTAAAATGTAGCAAAGTAATATAAATGGCAAACATATGATGATTTAAAATACAGATAAATATGATACTGTGTAAATATACATAGATTTTACAATTTAATATAATTTATGTGAAAAACAAATGTGGTTTTAAACATTAACACATAACTTTTAATATCTTATGTAATAGAACAGTAAAATGTTGGTTTTTTGTTTTACATACGAGTATCAAATACATTTTAAATAATAACTAAGAAAACTAATGATTTTTTACTAAAACTCAAATGGGGCACCCACCCAATGTGTTATGAACACAAAGAAGACCGAATAAATGTTCGTCTGCATTGTACGGGTCTAAAACAACATTTAAATTCAAACGACATATTCAAATATGTCAATAAAAATCAATGTTTAACTTAGTTCTCACATTGCTAATAAATTTGATATGTCTAAAAATCTATTAGTTGAAAAATTAAATAACGAGAAGTTATTAGAATCGGTAAGTAGTGTGATTGATTAATAAAGCTTGTAGCTAAAATTATTATAACAGTCTCATGAATTAAAAATGATTTTACTATAAAAATACTTGAAAACTAAAATGGTATTCAATTAAGCGTTGTTGTTCTTATTATAGAACTTCTCATTTGGAACAATAATTCGCATTTTCCTCATATTTAGTTAACTCGTAAAAACTAAAATGAAAAAATGAATATTGAAAAGAAATTCTCTTATCATTTTCAATCTAAGAAAAATTGAGTAGTGTATGTTAAATATTAACAAAGAAAAACAACAAATTATCGTTAAAAGATATAGTGGAATAAATATATCTGTGTGATATATTTTTTACTCGACAATATCGAGATGTGTCGAGGCATTTATCTAAACGGATTGTCGCACCAGTGGTGGATAAATGCATAGAAATATGCGGCAAGCAGTACCATCGCATCGTGTGGGGTATTCCTTACAATATGTTTTCGCAACACACCTTCCATTTTTTTCTTCTTTCTGCTTTTTGCGTACGTGATAAAAACTCTATTATTCTTGTTGACAGTAACACTCCGAAAACATAGCTGACATGTCTCCCGGACAAATATTTACACGCGTGTCCCCCGAGAACGTCTTACTTCAATACTTTTCTTCCTGCAAGAGTGTATTGAACGGTGGTTGTTTTTGGCACATGTGCCCATTCCAGGACCAAGTCGGCAGAAGACAACGAGTAATATATTACTGTGCCTCAACAGTATCAAGGTGTGTAGACGATAGGTACTTATAGGGATATGAATGGATTTGTCAACCGTAAACCGCAGGGGGTGCCGTGTAATTTGTCTTGTACACACCGCTGGTCATTATAATACTCTGGGCGATATCATATTATTATAGTGGCGACAAAGATGACTATGAAAGTGACAAAACGGAAAACCCACACTCCAACCAATGCGTTGCACAGCGTTTTGACGTGACAATGCAACCAACGACAAGTGTCCATTGAGTCCAAAATAGGTCGGCTGGCGTTCATAGTAATAATAATATACTCGACAAGCCGTTGCTCTTCAAAAACGCGTTAATCATACGGATGAGTGCCGAATTTTTAAAGGCGTGACAACAGCGTCCCCGTAATGAAAATTATTCGGACTAATGCAAAGGTACTGCACAAGGCATGTATATATATATATATGTATGACAACACTTAATTGAATTAACCCGTTTACCAGATGTATAACAATTAATTTTTCATATAATCAGGCATGTTCAACATTTTTTTCTATATTTTAAAACTGTTACAACTTTTTTAAAACACATTGATCTTAATAAAATTTAGTACAATAAACTAAATACGACAAGTTGTTTTTGGTATGTTTTTTTATGTAAATTTCATTAAAACCCTAGGTAAACGACGGGTTTGAACAAGACCAACCTTGCAATCAAAAATTTATTTATATCTTTTAAATTTTTGAAAATGTTTCGGGCCATCTGACAACTTTTAGCCTATATTAAAATCAATCTTTTCAAGTGTACAATAATATTAAAAAAATAATGAAGATTTGTCTTCTATGAGTATTTGACTACTAAGTCTAAAGTTTTTCAATTATTGTTTTCATATCTTTTTTTTGCACGCTCGCATCGAATCGAATCACTTTCAGATATCAAACTATAATGGAGTCCACTAGGCTGGGTCCCGACTGTTCAGGTTTTTTTTCTTATTTGTGTCTTTCACCATGTTTATTTTAATGAATTATTTTCCCAGTGTGTATTATAACAAAAAAACTCTATAAAATATTATATTTACAGAAAAATAAAAAAAATCACGTAACGCTTGACTCACAAAAATAAATTTTGAAAAAATATTTAAAATAAATTTAATAATATAAAACATCTTAATAATAATTTAATTTTACCTGAACTTGCACATTAATTATACAAATAAAACACTCGGTTTAACATAACACAGCAAAGTTGAAGGAATTCTTTGAATTTTATAAACTAATAATTCAAATACAGTAAAATATACATACAGATTAAATAATTACAAAACAAGTTCGCCAAAAACAGAAAATAATAGTATCTACATATTATTTAATCATAACATTGAATATTATAGTCGAATTGATTTTATCGATCAATGTTTGGTATTTTTATATAAGACATCAATAATATTTTAATGTAATTATAAATTGTTGAAATTTTTGAAAATAGACAAAAGCAGCACTAAGGCATATGCAAATGTGACTCTTTAACTAAGACTGTATATAGGTTTAGTTGCGCCCCTGATAAATTTTCTAAGATGCTATGCAAATTATTTTTGGATATACTCTATACTATCATAAAATCTTAAATTGCAAAATAACAACAATTTAATGAAATTATTTTATATTCATAAATATTTTTTGACAAAAGGACACAACTATTAAATTATTTACAATAATTTACAATAATAATGAAATAATTATCTAATTATTTCATTATTACGTGAATAACTACCTGAAATAATAATTTGTTAATATCACTATAACAACACCATACACATTAACAGTACATTTCTGACGCAGTTCTGTGTGTAAAAATAACTGTTTCATAATAAAACAACAAGCGAAACTTTCAACAAACACACTAAAATCATATATTTTTGATATAGTTAGTTAAATACGTCGCATTTAACTGACTAGATCTTTATAATTAAGTCAATTTTATTTTTCCAATGCCTGGCTGAATAGTTTGTTTGATTTTTTATATTTTTATTATATTAAATATCTCAATAACACAGAGGGTGAGTTTAATCGAAATTGGATACAAGGTGTTTATAAAGCCGACAGATGTCTGAAGTCACCTTAAATACTTAAAATGTTCATACTTGTTCAATGGATTGGCTCACTTGTATTTAACGAAACTACATTTGAAAAAATCTATTGATCACTACTCGTTCATTGATGCGGTTTTTTTTGATAACTAAGTACAGTAAAATTGTAAGAAAACAAATAAATACATTATATGGTTTAAAAGATATCAATATTGGTTCATTGTGGTTAATGAACGCTTATACAAGTGTGTTAGGTTAACATATTAATCACCCTCGTATACCTAAAGAACGTCGCAAAAAACATCATGATCCTATCTGTCTGGATACTATTAAATTATTCAGCTTGGAAAATACGAATGAATTTTTACTTTACCTTAGCAATTTATTTAATGATTATGATTTTGAAATCATCAAATCATTCTCTAGCTATATTAATTCTTTAAAATTGTATGTGTTTTTTTAAAAAGTTTTTAGATACATGATTATTTAATAATAAAACAATTATAAAAGTTTTAATTCAATAATATGTTTATTTTTATTTTAGAAATTATTTTATTATTTATTTTAGTTTTTAGGGGAACTAAATTGAATATTTCCTCTCTAAAAACAATTTTTTTATAATTTTGCTAAATTTCTGAGGAGCTAAATTGTAAACTTGGAGGAGGGCCAGTCCCTACCCTACTCCTAAAGTAGTTATAGTATTGTTTTATATTGAGTTATATTTATTATAAAATGTGTAAAATGTTTAAATGACTCAGAGTTATAATGATTTTAATGGCAAGTATTAGAAGGGGGAGATGATCTTTCATTTAATTTTTAAAGGAAATTTTTCATAAAACTGATGAATTTATATTTAAGACGGCATTAAAAAAAAATTTCTAAATTTCTTAATTAGATTATTTACTGTTTTATAAGCTATTTAAAAATATATGGCTTCATTTCAAAAAATAAAGTTTACACCCTTATAAGCTATAAGAGATGATTTTAAGAAGTAATTAAAAACTAATATACTAAGAAACGTTTGTAACTGAAAAAACCAAATATATTTTTCTCAGTATTATAGTAATTTTTCCAGTGCAAAATACTATTATCCTG